CATGCATTCCAAACCTTGTAATTTGTTTACAGTAGAAATTTTAGAACCTCTTCGTGCTTAACTCCTACAGGTGGAGCAAGTATCAGGCTCTGGGAAACTGGGAAGCAGCTGGGAAGTTACTTTCAACGGCACAAACCGTCACAAACGCAGCACTAACGAATGAGGTGGGTTTCATCGTTTGTGCTGTCTGTAGCGGGGGTGGAGAAACTTCACGGTGCTGGTTTGTCCTGCCCGCAAAGCATGAGTCCACCTCTCACCACAACTTCAAATAGTAAATACTGTTTATAAAACAATTCCCAAGGACATGAATATACATAATCCTCCGTTTGTTTAATAGTATGTTTAAAAAATAAACGATTCTTATTTTTTCTTCCAAAAAGGCCCTGGCGCTGTTTTTCTTCTGGGTTTATTGTCAGCCACAACAGGCACAGGTTCTTCTGCTTGACTTCTATGGAAAGGCTAGCTGATGGCGTAACGCTTGGACCACCAGCTGTAACCAGCCTCACCTCAGAACTAAAACCACCGAGAAAAATAAAGTCAGGTCAGTTTTAAACCTCTCATGGGCAGGACAAGAGGGCCCAAAAAAAGTTCTCCAGCTGAATTAGTAGAATGTTATGATTTATAAGATCAATCAGGTGTATGTATTAGGGAGCAAGAGAGTGAAGAAAGACTAATTCTATATAATTATTGGTGAATTCACTTAAAAGTCAATGTTAAGCTTATAGTCTGTATAGTATAGAACTATAGTATAGGTTGGGTAGCAGTCACATTAAAATCAAGCACTGAGATGATGAATGCTCAGTTATAGTAATGGTCAACTTAATATCCTCCAAACTCAAAGAAAACAATCTTGCATATCTGTATCACATTCATTAAAAATGTACCCTTTTCTGAGGCTTGAAAAGTTTTCAAAATTTCAAACGTTTCCAAAGCTGTCCCTTCGTTCACACTGTCATATGATAGCTTGGTTTGTTTTTCTGCACAGCGTGAAAGTTGATTTAAATAGGCGAAGCTCTGGATGACATGGTGGCACAGCGATTGGCATTGCGGCCTCAGAGTGTAGGGCCCTTGGGTTCAATTGCTTTGGCACTATCTGTGTGGAGGGTGCATGTTCTGCTTGAGCTCAGTCCAAAGACACACCAGTTGGTTAATAGGCTTTTGTAAAAAACCCGTTCTGGTGTGACTGGGAGCACTGTAAATAAACTGCACTTATTTTACGTGAGCATTTTTGCAATGGAGCCATTCCGTTATAAAACGGACCTACTTTGGCCTTCCTCAGACCATTGTGTGACATTTTAGTGGCAGAGGTGGGATGGCCAGCCATAAGACTGTGAGGAGAAGGAGAGTCCTGTATTCACAGATAAACTCTCAAGTAAAATAAGGGCAGTTTATTTATAGTGCTCTCAGTCCCCCACAACAGAAAACAAAACCCCAAAAGAAACAAAAGTAATTCTTCAAATGGTGTCTCGGTGTCTCGGTGTCTCTGTGTCTCTGTGTCTCTGTGTCTCTGTGTCTCTGTGTCTCTGTGTCTCTGTGTCTCTGTGTCTCTGTGTCTCTGTGTCTCTACCTAATATACTAACCACCAACAACCAACACCTTCTTAGGCTGAGGAGCCAGCTTAAATAGCTTGTATGCCCCTCACCTTCTGGAACAAACCATTTCTCTACTTCAAAGTGGTTTTTCCCATCTCCTTAAATAACCCTTGAGAAGTGGGGTTAGGTTTGGCCTTCTGAGGCCACCATAGGCTGACCCATCCCGGAAGTACCGACACCAAACAAACATTGAGTATCATCCGTTTTGAGAGTGCTCTCCGTTCACACCACAATACTCACTCAAACCTGTGTTTAAGTATATGAATATATATGAAATTAAGTATGTTTATGTATGTGAATGTATATGAAATTAAGTAATAGCAGTTACTAGTCAAGCCCTGAGTGTGCACTCTCAGGAACTTATCTAGCAACCGCTCAGTGGAAGGTGTATGAATGTTGTATTTTCTTTGCTATCTGTACCTCGTGACAGGCTTCTCTGTCAGTGTGTTTGTGTCCGTGTGTGCCTTGTGATGGACTGGTGTGCCATGCAGGATGTATCCTGCCTTGCCACCAGTGCTTCCCTGGATAGGCTCTGGGCCTCCGTGACCCTGAATTGGATAATTGGTTATAGAAAGTGAGGTGATGTGTGAAGTGTTTTGGTCTGAAAGCTTCTAACAGGTTCTCTGGCTCGGAATGTATTTCATTAGTCAGGTATCCAGATGGTGTTTCAATAGTTGTGCTTTAATTTGTATGAATTGAGCAACAACATACAGAATTAAATCACACAAAGTCATGTTGGGCATGTTGCACACGAGGGTTTTATTGGAAACAATAACTCAGATTTCGATTGGGCTTTTGTTTGTCTCTGCCTCGGCAGCTGTACCAAATTGAAGCACATCTTCTAGCTGGGGGTTTCCCCATAAATATAGCCTGAGCAATATTGTTATCAGAGGGAGTAAAGAGTATGGCCCAGGACAGACGTTCATGGAACACTTAGCAAATGGAAGTGGATGTGAAAATGTTTTTCCCACTCTGCGGAAACTTTTGTAAGAAATTCTGAGAAATCATGTAAATTCATATCATATCGTTGTAAGTGTCTTTTTCCAGAAAGTGGTAAATCTATAAAGTTGCACGAGTGGATGGATGGATACTCTAGTTGTCAGTCCAATAATGAGACAGTCACTTCTGATTGTGATGGCTTAATTTGTCTAATTATTTTGGTGTCAAATCCAGATCACCTGTTGCACTTTTCAAGTCGTCATCAGTTGCTTAATCCAAACTATCCACATGATTCCAGCTCTCAAGCACAGATTCTACTTCTGTGGCCTGAAGTTTCTGCATGCAGACAATCTCTCAGATCTGCATGGAGGAGTGATCATACCTGTAAAATTGTACTTCTTGGTAATCGATCTTCTTACTTCATATAGGGAGACCAAGTGCTTGGGCTAACTCTGTATTTTGTTATTTTTGTTGAAGTCACTTATGTTTTGAACCTTGTATCATACTCTTTATTCATTGCTCATTATGAAAGCAATTATCTTAAGGTTCACTGTATCAGCTAGGATCAATATAGACCCAGTGATGGCTTGTAGCTGTGTAATTAACTGGACAAGGGCTTTTGTGAGCAATTAACACTTGTTTGAAAATAGTATTATTGTGTGAACACTTTTTCCATGTTTTTTTGTACTGCTTGTTCACATAATGCTCCCTTTTTTTGTTAACATATCATATATACAGCCATACTTCCAATAGGTGTCCAGCTACTGAAAAGAAAAATGTATGCTCACATTCAGCATGGTATATAGCATTTTATTTGCAATAATTATTTTTTGTGGACTATTTGGTTATTTAGAGATTCATGATAAAGATGGCCTATGTTCAGAGGAACAGCAGATCATTCTGCTTTTACAGTGGTGGGATATGACACTGGTGAATGCATTGCTCAACAATTCGTGTCCATAGCTGCTAATAAACTTTGCTCTTGAATTTGAGCGATAATCTGAGAAATGTCAGTGCTGAGCTTCAAGGTGCCCATCACTAAATGGCTTTTTTTGTTCAGCATAAGGGATAGCATGATGTAGAAAGCAGGAGATTTGCAGAATTTCAGCAAACAGTAGCACCTTAATGAATTTAGCTGTGTATCAGAGTAGCAGAATTCAGAAAATCTACTACCCATGTAGAGTATAGCAGATATGAATGCAGCGCTTTTAAAGAATGGCTTTGAGTGCAATGCCAGGCATAATTTTCGGTAACTGATCTACACTCCTTCATGGAGGCTGTCCCAGTGACTAAACATGACATTTTTTACAAATAATTAAATGCTTTATAGTGCGGTCTGTATCCTGCCCTACTCCATAAAGGTCAGTGATTCTGTATCCTCTAAGCAGTACACTAGCTGTGTTGCACCATGGGTCTTCAAGTAGGATTTCTGTTGCTCAGTATATCAACATTGATGTGGATGCCGCTCTGTGAATCTGCATGGTGGAAGTGACTCTGGCCGTCAGTGTATGTGAGCAGTGAGCAGTTAACACCAGAAGGTGCGTCTCAAAGTATGATGTCTATTTTACAGCGTTGGGTCAAACCAGCCTTCAATGTAGATGCAATGTACCTGTTTTGAAGCTTCTTAGAAATATGATCCCAAGTAGACTATATATAGGAAGGAACAAGTAATAGGTTTATTCCATGCTGAAAAAAAGAAGAAAGAAAACCCAACGTTTTGGCCGTGGAGCCTTAGGAAGATCTCTTTATATATAAAAAAGAAAAGGCACCCGTTCAACACACTAAAATGTTAGAACCTTTTTGTGGTCAGTTCAAGGTAGTTTGTTAATTTTGTATTTTCAGAATGGGCAAAAATCCAAAGTGGATGAGTATTAAATAAAAACAAGTGCAAAAAGAATGAGGTTAGAACATATTAGATTGGATAATTTGGCATTTTCATCAGAGGCTGTGAAGTTCGATAAGCTACACCATTTTTATGTAGCCTATACTTGAGTCAGGTTGGAAATGCATGGATGAAGATGTGTCATAAAACAGTATGGGTTTACAGATGATTATTTACAGATTTAAATGTTTTAAATTGTTCCATTGCACATAAACTTTCAAGGATTTATTCTGGATATATCCAGCAGATTTAACACTTTGAAAGGATCTGATAATTTTTCATTTTAATCGGATTTTATCCAACTCTGTTAGATCCAGGACTTTAAATAGGCTGCCTTTGCCTTGGATTGAAAATTCATGGAGGCCTGGACCACTGACTGTCACATCTAACAAAGTCATGAAGACAGGCAGAAACTTATACTTAATCCATAATGAATGCATGTTCCTGTCTTCTACTTTTTATAACACTTCATTTGACTTCAATATACATTTTTAGAAATGTACCCTATGTGTGTATGTTTAGCAGTCCGACAAACTGAATTAGAAAACAGACCAGTTGTAAAACAAATTCTGCAGTGCGCTTAAAACCCACAAATAGTGAGAATGAGTTTACGTGTGTAATAGTCCAGCAAAACTTCTATTAATATAATAATGTTCTTCCCTATGATCACTTAATTAGATACCCTTGAGATATAGTTGCTTCAGATAGATCTATTAGTGAATACTTATTATATTAATATTTGTTTTTCTTTCTTTATAGGACTGTGGGATAAAGAATGTTTTGCACAGGACTAGTCTTTAAGGCTGAGCTTTGATGACCCTTTTAGTTACTGCTAATGTAATTGGAGACTGTCGAAGTATTTTTCATAAATAAGGTGAGCACTCATCAAGTCATGTTTCTCTTAAAATGATTAGTTTAATGTGAAAACTGTGGGTATTGCTTTCAGATGTTTTTTTTGTTGATTTAAGCTTAATAATGATAATTACATACACTTATATGTCACTTTTCTGGACACTCCACTCAAAGTGCTTTACAGGTAATGGGGACTCCCCTCCACCACCACCAATGTGCAGCATCCACCTGGATGATGCAACGGCAGCTATAGTGC